CAGATGCAATATTTCGGGGGAAAAATTTAAATTAAAATAAAGGGGTTACATTTTTTTGACCACGAAGATATTTCCCTTTTTTAAAAATAAAAAAAACTTTTTTAATGTGTATTTGCATGTGTATTCTTAAAAGGGGCCCCTTTTGAAGTCATAAAATGAAAGACGAGGTTTTTTATTGGAAATGACAGACAAGCTATCCTTTTGATTTTCCCCCCCAAAATAAGGCGCAAAAAGAAGGTGGTGATTGGGCCAATATTTACAATAACATTGCATGGGATTTATTTTGCAAAAAAAAGGGGAAAAAATGGGATTCAGGCTTTGCCCAAACTCTAATTCAGCAGTGCAGGCAGAGGTTGTGTATTGGAGTTTAAATTTTAGGTAATAAAAATTTTATTTTGGTTAAAAATATGTATTTTCACTAAAATAGAAATGGGGGTTGATGGGTTTGTCATTTCAAGGGGGGGTATAGTTTGTATTTTTTGAAAAAAACCCATTATCAGTAAGTAAGTATGTATTATGTTTTTTATTTTTTAGGGTACATGTGTGGTATTTTTTATGATGTGTCTTATGTATTTATGTGGAATTTTTGGGGTTTGGGTGGCCTGGTTTATTTTACACGTTCCCTTTTACGACTTTTTTATAGTAGGTATCTTTTGAAAATTTTTTTGGCCCTGAGAAGGGCCCTTTTTTTTGTCTTCAACTCATGTTTTTGGTAGTAGGGGTAATGCCTCTGATTCCTCCCCCTTTGGGCTGTAGGCTGGTGGGTTTGGGATCAAGTTCCTTTTTTTGTAGGTGCACCCCCGGGGTTTTGGGCTTTTTTTCTAGCCGCCGCATGTTTTTCATTCACGTAGGTTTTCTGCATTTCTCGCCTTTTTAAATGCTTTTTTTCTTTCTGTTTTTTTTGCGATAGGCATTTTTCCTGGTCAAATTTTTTAGGTACTGATGTTTGGGCCGGGCAGTGGCAATGAATTTCTGCTGCTTTCATTAAAATTTTTCTGGGCCCAAATGTTTTTTTGTCTTAAAATTTAAGGGCCCCCTTTTTTTGAATAGTTGGGGGTGCTTAGGAAAACTTCGCTGACTGTCTGTTAAGCCCTCACATTTCTGAGTTGCTTTGAGGGTTTTATTTCCTCAATAGCGGGTTTTGGGTAGTCGCATCTCAAGAATGACTTTTAAAAAGTGCTTGTTTTTTCTTCGGGGAGGGATTGTTTTTCGGGGCGAGGATATAGACTATTCCCCCCATTTGTGTCTCACCTTCCACACCACTAATTCCTTGACTTTTAAACATCTTAGTAGCAAAAGGATGGTTTTCTCACAAGGGAAGTTACTACAGATGTTTGATGTCTGTGTAGGTATCCATGAGTTTCTTATAGACTAGCGACCACATTTGTGAAAATTTTTATTTCAAACCTCTTCTTGTTTTGCGGGGAAAACCTCGAGTGGGGGCACTGCGACACTCCCAATGGGCTCTGTGACATGGGTTGGGTGGCCAGTCGGTGATTTCCATCTATAAAAATTCGCAGGGCAAGAAATCCGGGGGCTAAACCCCCCGTTGTTGTTCTCCCCTTAACCCGTCTGCTTTCCTAGGGTTTTCCATCTATCTGAAAGAGGTAAAAAAATTTGCTTCAGCCCCTTTGACCCCCACAAAACCATAACCTTACCTCAAGAGGTTCCTCCCAGCAAAGTTTGTTTGCATTTTTCGCCAAAAATCTTTTTGGTGTTTCTAAAATGGCGTAAGTTTTGATGCATTTAGTCCTTTTTCGGAAAAGGTTGGATTTTAGCGTCCATCTTTGGAAATGTCCAGTTCCTCTATGTTCTTGACCTTTGCCTGGTTGTGGCCTTAACCATTGTCTCTCTCACCCATGTTTTTTTATTCAGGCTGAGTGGGGTGTGTTGCCCTTTGTTTTCGGCTAATTTAGATTCCAAGGCAGCTCCTCGTGGGTTTCCCCAGGGAAAATTTTCCAACTGAAAGTTCCATACTGGGTTGGGCCTGGTTTTTGGAGAATTCGGTATAATTTATAAAATTTTGTCTGAAAATTACATCCCGTAAAATGTTTTTTCTCCCAAAACCCCATTTCCTCTGTCCTGAGTATTCCCACACTAAAATTTTTGGCCTGGTCAAAGTCTTTTGGCTCATAAAAACCAAAAAATGTTTTTAAAAAACGGTTTTTCCCCTCAAACTCATAAGACTCTTTATTTTTTAGCCCCTGGCAGGATTTGGACTGGCTTGGTGGCCTTGAGCGGGGGTGTGTTTTTCAACCCTGGTTTTTTTCTAAAAGGGTTTTGGTGGCCTGATGACCCTTTAAATTTAAGGGTTCCCTTTTTTTAAACCCAAAATTAAGATTTTTTCTTCTTTGTTTATTCATTGTTTTCATGTGTAGTGAAGAGTTTTTGAAAGAAATTGAATTATGACAATGTTTTTTTGGGGAAAAAATTTTATTTATTTACTGAATTTTTCCTTTGAATCACCTGTAAAACCCCATGGGTATTAAGATTACCTATACAAAGACTCTTAGCCAATAGCCCATGGCCCCTCTTAGAAAAAAGTTGGGGGGAAAAATTTTTATTTTGAATGTTATGTACACTTTTATAGTAAATTTATCATCATTTATTTTTAAAAAAATTACTTTTTTATATTTATTAATTTTTATGATAGATTTTATATTTCTTAAATTTTAAAAAAATTTTTTAAAAACATACAGAATCAAATTCCTAAAATTAAAAAACTTTATTTTACATATTTAAAAGTGTGTGTTTTTAAAAAGGATAACAATTTTTTGTAATAATTAGTTCCTTTATTGTCTAACAGTTTTTACATATTTTAATTTTTTAAAAATTTTATATTGCCATTTTTTCATTTTTTTTCCTGTATTGCCTTGATACACAATATGTAATTTTACATGTAGATATCAACCAATTTAATCAAACTTTTTTTAGTTAAGTAGTATTTAAAGGGTTTCAAATATGGCCTTAAAATTTTTTAATGAATTTTATGTCCATAAGAATACGGGGGGGGTCAAATGGGTAAACAAATGTAGGAAATTCTTCCTCCCCTTTTAATGATAAAAATAAAAATAGTAAAATTTTTTTGGGGATAAATAAAAGTAAGTGTCTAAATTTACAATGATATGCAGCAAGGTGCATTTCAAGCAAAAATTATGCTTAAAATTAAAGAAAAAGCATTCATTTGGGTTTTTTTTTTTTTCCCAAGCGAACTTCCGAGGTATACTAAAATTTTAAATAACCAGAATCCACATTCAACCCCCTTTTTCTGGATGTGAATTTTTATCTGACACTTTTCTATTTGGTCAAAGATTTTTGGAAATGGAAAAAAATTACAAAAAAAAAAAAAATTTTTTTCTTTAAATTTATTGTAAGCAAGGGTAGGGTGGGGTTTGGGGGCCCCCCCTAAATTATTTTTAAAGATTGACAATGAAATTTTGACAGGAGGTGGTTATATTTTGAAATAGTTTAAAAAATTTTTTAAAAAAAATTTTTAAAACATTTTAAAATTTTAATTTTTTTAAAAATTAAAATTTTTTGAGTGATTAAAAAAAAAAATTTTAAAACCCAAATGCAATATTTAAATGTATTGGGAATCATGTATCCCTTGCCCCAAATATTCCTTTTTAAAAATAAAAAAATGTTTTGTAATTGTATTTCATGTGTATTCTTTAAGATCTTTTAATCATAGATAAAGACAGGGTTTTTTGGAAATGACAAAAAAGCTATCCTTTATTTCCCCCCCAAAATAACGCAATAAAAAGGTGGTGATTGGGGCCAATATTTACAAAAACATGGGTTTTATTTTTCAGGGAAAACACTGGAAAAGGGGGCTTTTCCCCCAAAAACGGGTTGTGTATTGGGGAATTTTATATGGAAAATTTTTGTGTAAAAATATGTACTTTTATAAAAAAATTGGGGGGTTATGGGTTTTTTGGAAATGGGGGGGGGGATAGTTTGTAGTTTTTTACAAAAAAAAATGATAGTTAAGTAAGTTTTTGTTTTATTATTTCATTGTGGGTAAAATTTTTTTAAATTTTTGTGGAAGTTTTTTGGGGTGTTAATTTTTTCACTTTCTTTCGACTTTTATAGTAGGTATCTTTTCGAATATTTTTTTTTCCTCCCCTTTTCTTTTGGTCTTCTGGGATAGGGGTTGCCTATTCCTTGGACTGTAGGTGGTGGGTTTTCAAATTTCCCCTTTTTAGGTGCACCCTCTTTTTCTAGCCGCCGCATGTTGTTTTTTTTACGTAGCTTTCTCTGTTTTCCCTTTTAAATGCTTTTTTTTTTATTCTTCGATAGGCATTTTTTGGTCAAAGCTTTTTAGGTACTGATGTGTGTGGCCGGACAGTGGCAATGTAATTTCTGTCTTATTAATGTTGCTAGTCCCGGACTGTTGTTTTGTTTTAAAATCTCAGCTGAGGATTCCTTCACATTTCTTGAATAGTTGGTGTGCTTGGAAACTTCGCTGACTGCTCTGTTAAGACCCTCACATTTCTAAGTTGAGTGTTGAGTTTCATTTCCTCAATGGCACTTTGGCTAAGTCACTCAAGAATGACTTTTAACAAGTGCTTGTCATTTTATTCGGGCAGGGATGTCAGTTTTGAGGGCGAGGATATAAGACTGATTCCACCAGTTGTGTCTGTCTCCACCTTCACACACCACTGAATTCCTTCGACATTTTGAACAGTCTCCTGAGTAGCGAGGAAATGGTATTCTCGACAAGAGGAAGTTTCTACAGATGATGTTGATGTCTCCAGTGTAGGTATCCATGAGTTTCTTATAGACTAAGCTGCACCGGACCTACATCTTGTCAAAAATTTTTCTCATTGTCTAACCTCATTTTGTTTTTCAGGGAAACATCTGGGGGAGTGGCACCGATCCGGAACTGGGCTCTGCTGACATGGGTGGTGGCCAGTATGATTGCCGTCTGATGAAATCGCAGGCCTTTAAGGCTGAGCGGGCATAGTACCTTTGGCCTCATTGAACCCGTCCTGCAGATCTTGCCTATGGATTTAGCCATCTCGTACTCTGAAAGAGGTGAGAACATTTCAATATTAGCTGTGCAGTCTTCATGACCCCCGGACAATGAACATCATAACCATTACCTCGAAGCCAGGTTCCAGTCCAGCAAAGTTTGTTCTGCATTGATCATGTTGATGCGCCAATAATATACTGTTTGTTGGTGTTGGTCTCGCATGCAATGGCGTAAGCTTGTGATGCATTGTAGCCTGGCTTTTTGCTGCTACCGAAGGTTATGGAGTTGTAGCGTCCATTTGGCAATGTCCAGTTCCTCTGGATGTTCTTGACCTTTGACCTGGTTGATGGCCTTAACCAGTTGTCTCTTCTCACCCATGTCTTTTTTATTCAGGGCTAGAGTGGCTGTGTTGACCTGGTTGCTGGCCCCTTTTCATGGAACTGCGGTTTGGAGGTGGAAAGTCCAAGGCAGCTACCATTTTTCCCACTCGTCGATTCCCCATGGAGGTGTTCTGCAGGGCTAACTGAAAGTTCCAGTTGATACTGGCAGGATTAGGGCCTGGTTTGTTAAAGGTAGGAATTTCAGTGTATAACTTATAGTAATTTGTCTGAAAATTACATACCGTACACAGTAGTCTCTTCTGCCATCCAAACCCCCATTTCCTCTGTCCTGAGTATTCCCACACTGGAAAACTACAGTGCTTGGCCTGGTCAAAGTGGCATTTGGCTGCATCATTAAACATTTCCAAGACCAATGTTATGTCAACAATGCGGTTTCCCTCAAACTCATAAGACGTCTCTTCATTTTTTAGCTCCTGGCATGGCTCAGGTCTAGGACGAAGGTCTGTTTTAGATGTTTTCCTGGCCTTCAGCAAGGGGATGTGCTGTCTGGCTCTGGGGATCCCCGGATGTTTGACGCTGAACTGAAGCTCCTGCGGGATTTTACGTAGCCTGATGAGCCTTAATATAACGAGTGTTCCCTTTTTTAAACCCAAAATTAAGATTTTTTCTTCTTTTAGTACCTTCATTGTTTTCATGTGTAGTGAAGAGTGGATTTGAAAGTAAGATTAAAATTTTGACAATGTTTATTTGGACACATTTTAGTGGTATTTACTGCAATATATTCCTTTCAATCACCTTCAAAACAGACTCCCCTAGGGATTAGATTACCTATACAAAAACTCTTAGCCAATCAGCTGCACATGGCCCCTCTTCACAGTCAGGAAAAAGGATATGGGGGTGGGCTTAAAAATCAGTTTATTTTGAATGTTATGTACACTTTTATCAGTAATATGATACATCATTTGATTTATGAATAAATGTACTTTAAATGTTTACCCCTATTGTCACTCTCAGATTTTCATGATAGATTTATATTTCTTAATTTAAGAAAATTTTATGAAAATCAGGGTACAGATCATCAAATTACCTAGAAATCTAAAAATCTTGTATTTTACATATTTAAGAGTGTGTGTGTGTTTAAAAGGTATCAACAACTTACTTGTAATAATTATTTTTCCTTTTATTGTCTAACAGTTTTTACATATTTAAATTTTTAAAAATTTCAATTTGCCTTTTTTTCCATTTTCTTTCCTGTATTCCCTTTTTAAAAAAAAAAGAAAATTAAACCAAAAAAATTTAATTTGTTAATTTTAAAAAAAAATTGGTTAAATTTTTTTTTTCCCCAAAACCCCAAAATTTTCGGAAAATCAAAAAACTTCCCCCCAATATAAAAAAAATTAATTTTTTAAACAAAAAAAGGGGAAATTTCAAATAGGGCCCCTTAAAAAAATTTTTAAATTAAAAAATTTTTTTTGCCTTTTTTAAGGGAATTTGGGTTGGAAAAGGATTTAAAAATTTTCCCCCCCCTTTTTAAAATTATTGAAAATTTGAAAAAATTTTTGGAAAAAAGGTTTTTTTGGGTTTTTGAAATTTTGGGGGAAATGGGGGGTTTTTTCCCCTTTTTAAAAATTTTTTAAAAATATTTTTAAAATTTTTTTTTTCTTTTAAAATTAATTTTTTTAAAAATTAAAATTTTTTGAGTGATTGAAAAAAAAATTAAATTTATGCACCCCCAGAATCAATATTTGGGGAAATGTATTCGTAAAGAGGTACTTAATAGCCACAAAAGTTCCCTTTTTTAAAAATAAAAAAAACTGTTTTGTAATGTGTATTTGCTGTGTATTTTAATAAGGGGTCCCTTTTGAAGTCATAAAAAAAGACATTTTTTGGAAATACAAAAACTATCCCATTATTTCCCACCCAAAATAAAAAGGGTGGTGTTTGGGGCCCAATATTTACAATAACATTCATGGATTTTTTTTAGGAAACACGGGGAAAAGGGGGTCGGGGTTTTCCCCGACTCATAATTGCACATGCAGGCAGAGGTTGTGTTTTGGAGTTTAAATTTCAGGTGGGGGAAATTTTTTGTGTAAAAATATGTACTTTTCACAAAAATAAAAATGGGGGTTGATGGGTTTGTCATTTCAAGGAAGGGGGGGGGGTATATTTGGGTTTTTTTGACAAAAAATTTGTAGTAAGTAAGTTGTATTTTTATTTTATTTTTTGTACATTGTTATGTGTATGATGTGTCTTATGTATTTATGTGGAAGTTTTGGGTTTCCCTGGTTTTAAATTTTTTACACGTTTCTTATACCTTTTATAGTAGGTATCTTTTCGAATTTTGTTCCTGGGGGGGTTTTGTCTTGTCTTGCATTCTGGTAGGGGGTTATTCTGGATTGCCTCCCTTGTAGGTGGGGGTTTGGATGGGGGCCTTTTTTGGTAGGTCCCCCCCGGGGTTTTGGGTTTTTCCCTTTTTCTAGCCGCCGCATGTTTTTTATTAGCGTGCTTTCTCTGCATTTCCCTTTTTAACTGCTTTTCTTTTTTCTTATTCTCGGGATAGGCCCTGGTCAATGTTTTTTAGGTCTGATGTGTGGGGGGACATGGCAATTAATTTTGCTGTTTTCATTATTTGTAGTCCCGGACTGTTGTTTTTTTAAAAATCTTGGGGACCCCTTCACATTTCTTGAATAGTTGGTGTTTGGTCTTCCTGACTGCTCTGTTAAGCCCTCACATTTCTGAGTTGACGTGTGATTTCATTTCCTCAATGGCACCTGGCATCTAAGAATGACTTTTAACAAGTGCTTGTCATTTTCATTCAGGTGCAGGGATGTAGTTTTTTCGGGGGGGAGGTTCCACAATTTTCCCCACCTTCACACCCACTGAATTTTCGACATTTTGAACAGTCTCCTGAGTAGCAAAAAGATTTTGACAAGAGGAAGTTTACTCAGATGATGTATGTCTCCCGTGTAGGTATCCTATTTTATAGACTAAATTTTCATTTTCCCTTTTTGGGCTAACCTCTTCTTGTTTTGCAGGGGAAAAACCCCGGGGTAAAAGGGGGACTTGCCGGAACTGGGCCTCTGACATGGGGTTTGGGGGGCCAGTGAGTGTTGGTCTGGATAAAAATTCGCATGGTCTTTTGGGAAACCCCGGGCTGACCGGGGATCACCGTCTGTTGTGGCGTCTCACCTTGAACCCCTCCCTCCAGATCTTCGCCTATGGGTTTACCATTCGTATCTGAAAGAGGTGAGAACATTTCAATATTTCTGTGCATCTTGGACCCCCCCAAAAGAACATATAAACCCTTCCCCCGAAGCCAGGGTTTCCCGTCCACAAAGTTTTTCTGCATTGCTGACCAAAAATATACTGTTTGTGGTGTTGGGCTCGCATAAAAAGGCGTAAACTTGTGATGCATTGTAGCCTGGCTTTTTTGTCCGAAGGTTTGGAGTTGTAGCGTCCTCTTGGGAATGTAGTTCCTCTGGGTGTTCTTGACCTTTGACCTGGTTGATGGCCTTAACCAGTTGTTTTTTCACCCCTTTTTTTTTCAGGGGTAGAGTGGCTGTGTTGACCTGGTTGCTGGCCCTTTTCATGGAACTGCGGTTGGAGGTGGGAAAGTCCAAGGCAGCTCCCCTTTCCCACTCTCATTCCCCCTGGAGGTGTTCTCAGGGCTTGAAAGTTAGTTGTACTGGAGGTTAGGCCTGGTTTTTAAAGGAGGAATTTTAGTGTATAATTTATAATAATTTGTCTGAAAAACATACCTACAAGTAGTCTCTTCTGCCATCCCAAAACCCCCCTTTCCTCTGTCCTGAGTATTCCCACACTGGAAAATTTCAGTGCTTGGCCTGGGAAAATGGCATTTGGCTGCATCATTAAACATTTTTTATGTCAACAATGCGGTTTCCCTCAAACCATAAGACGTCTCTTATTTTTTAGCTTGGCATGGCTAGGTTGGGGCGAAAAATCTCCCCTTAGATGTTTTCCTGGCCTTCAGCAAGGGGATGTGTTTGTCTCTGGGGATCCCCGGGGTTTTTCCTAACTTGAAGCTCCCCCCGGCTTTGACTAGCCTGATAGCCTTAATATAAATTTTTTTTAAACCCCAAAAATTTTTTTTCTTCTTTTGTTTTTTCATTGTTTTCATGTGTAGTGAAATGGATTTTGAAAAAAATTAATTATGACAATGTTTATTTGGACACTTTTTATGGTTTTACTGCAATATATTCCTTTTAATCACCTGTCAAAAAAACTCCGGGGATTAAAATTACCTATACAAAGCTTTAGCCAATCAGCTGCACATGGCCCCTCTTCAGTCAGGAAAAAGGATATGGGGGTGGGGTTAAAAATCGTTTTTTTTTGAATGTTATGTACACTTTTATCAGTAATTGATACATCATTTGATTTATGAATAAATGTCTTTTAAAAGTTTCCCCTATTGTCACTCTCAGATTTTCATGATAGATTTTATATTTCTTAATTTAAAAAAATTTTTTGAAAAAACAGGGTACAGATATCAAATTACCTGAAACTAAAAATCTTTATTTTTCATATTTAAAAGTGTGTGTGTGTTTTTAAAAGGTATCAACAACTTACTTGTAAAATTATTCCTTTTATTGTCTAAAATTTTTTCATATTTCAATTTTAAAATTTCATATTTTCCATTTTTTGCCCTTTTCTTTCCTGTATTGCCTTAGCACAATATGTAATTTTACATGTAGATTAACCAATTTTAAAACAAACTTGGTATTTAGTTAAATATATCTAAGGATTTAAAAAGGCCTTAAAAATTTTTTAATGAATTTTATGCCTCCATAAGGGTCCACTTTAAAAGGGGGAAGGGAAATGGCAAAAAGTGCACATGTAGGAAATTTATCCTCCCTTTCAAAAGATAAAAATAAAAATAGCTCACATGTTTTAGATACTTTTGGGGGATAAAATAAAAGTAGATTCTAAAGTTTACAATGATATGCAGAAAGGTGCATTTAAGCAAAAATTATGTTTTGAAATTAATTGAAAAAGCATTCATTTGGTTTGTTTACATTTTTTTTGCCAACAATCCCCCGAGGTCATACGTCAGAAGTTTATTAATAACCAGAATTTTCCCCCCCTTTTTTGGATGTGAATTTTTATCTGACACATTGCTCTATCATGTGGTAAAAGAATTTTGGAAATGAAGTTTTTTTAAAAAAAGTTACAAAGAAAATAAAACACATGTTTTTACTATTAAGTTATATGTACTAATTTGGTGGTTGTGAGGGTTTGAGGGTTTCCCCCTAAATTTTTTTTTAAAGATATGACAATAAAATTTTGACAGGAGGTGGTTATATTTTGAAATATTTATAAAAATTTTTAAAAAAAATTTTTAAAACATTTTAAAATTAATTTTTTTAAAAATTAAAATTTTTTGAGTGATTAAAAAAAAAAAATGCATCCCAGAATGCAAATTTCGGGAAGTTGGTAAAAGAGGTCACTTAGTGATCCTTGCCCAAAAATAGTTCCTTTTTAAAAATAAAAAA